CGCACCCGCACCATAGCAAAACCTGTTCCTCGCTCGCGTTGTACGGACCAACCTGTCGAAGTCTAAAATAACCACGCAAGGTCGGCAATCTGCTGGGATCCAACGGAATATCGGATGGATGAATCTTCTTAGCCACCTGTTACTGGTCGGTAATTAAATTTCTTTGGACTACGGTGCACCATGCGGTGGCCTCTGGCCAACCTACTACTCGTTTTGTCTCGATGATGCCTTTTAGACCATGATGATGGTGATGCTTCCTTCTATCGACGCTCATCGAGATACGCCATCTAAATTGGGGTTCGCTGACGCCAAGCCGGGTCACTATGAAGGATTATTGACCGTGAAATGCGGAGGTTAAGGCGCGATTTTGTTGAGCTTACAGTGGTGTGTACTACTTAATATCTTGTAAATGAGCACATTCAGGAAACTACACCACCGGAGCCGAAGGCGCTCAAAGTCGGTTAAGGAAAGTTACGAGTTGTACTGGCAATATTATCAAATAGTTCACAACCAAGAGTCTTAAGAGCTCGTCAGTTATTGCTATTACTTGCTGTGCCAAAGAGGAAGTTGAATATTTTTATCAAAACGACCCGCACTGATCGCGATAGTTCGACCATGGCTCATTTTTATAAGGTTGCTTTGTTTGTGACTCACAAAGATGCCACACGGATAGACCACTGTTTGATAGCTAAGCACAGAGTTGGTATCTGCGTTATTCCGAAACAGAAAAAGGCGACCGAAGTTGTACCTTTGAATTTCGTTTATCAAGTGGCCGGAAACGGTTATTTTATAGTCACAGATTTCGTAATTATTCAGATAGTTGTACTTCGTGAAAATATCATTTCATCAGTTTAATTAAGCAGCAAAATAGCCGTATGTACAACTTAATAAACCGATTGAATGGTATCTGCAACACCTCAACCAACTTGCAAAAAAGTCGCCACTGTTACATTACCAAACTAAGGCATTAAAGTTGTATGTACACGTTGCTAGTCGAAAAAGTCGTATCTATAGCAGCATTGTCACTAACAACTCATATAATGTTGTAGTCACTGAAGTAAGACTACTAGTATTTCTTTATATATCTCCGTCTCCCTCATACATACACATGCAACCTAACCCGGTGTGTAAACGTTTGTTCGGTAAGCTCAAAGACATACGCTTTTTAGTTGTGTGTCTCCCTTTCGAAAACTTTGTCGTGACGTATGAGTGCGCCCTTCAATCGTATTTGTCAGAGTGAGAAATTACTTGACATCGCGTGCAAATTGAATTGTCCTGTTATCAGTATTCAATATAAAATTGTACAATGCCCGGAAATACGATCAATAGAAAAGGCCGACAGCTCGTGCTAAATTTATTAGTATTTCTAGGCAGAGAATGAAGACAGCGGTCCCCCGTTACCCACTTCACGCGTACTGGAGAGAGTAGCGGATGCGTTGACGATTAGTCTGCGGAGACTCGATCTGTTTACTTATTTCATATGGCGTTGATGACGTAACCGCCAAGAACGGTGACTACAACTATACCTTAGTGAAACATGACATTTGCGCAGATGCGTCAAATAAAAATGTAGGATTTTAAGAAAACTGATTTTCGCCTAAAAAGCAACAATAAACTAAGGTGAGTAACATTAAAACAACGAGCTGTTGAAAGGGTCAGACCTGACCCTGTAGCAAGATAATTTTTCCCTTGACTATGGATGCTGTGATTGTCCGTTGGTGGTAGACGGTCTCTGACTGTCGAACGCGTAGGTACCACCCGGCGGACCTCGTGTTCCCTCGCTAGAGTCCGTGTGGCCCACATTCCACTATAGCTCCACGGGACCCCACAGATGTTTAGCCCTTCGTGGTAGTTGGAGTATAAAAAAATAGTTCACGAGAGATTCAGCTATAAGATTGAGGCAATCCAATGGCCATAACCAACCCCTTGACATGCCTACATTCATCTCTTTTGTTAATATTAATAATAATATATGTGTTAACTTCTGACAGCCATATCTTTGTACATTTGAAAAATAAGATCAATATAAGATAACAAATAAGTAATAACTGAAGCTGCATCAGCAGCTTGTGGGTGATTTTTTATTTACAATTAACCGTTTTTTGTCCAAATGAGGATATGCATAAAACGTTCATCAACTATCTACCATCCATTTTTTTACCTGAATTGTAAATTTCGATACTAGTATTATATTATTTATTAAGCTTGGTGCAAGACAAAGAAATGCCTGTCTTACAAATTTATTTCTTCGAGGGATCCCATAACAGTGTTCTTGGTGACGTGTCTGATAAACATGATAAATACTTTGCAATTCAATGCTTGTATTTTGTATGGATATTCTGCAGTATAGTAAAAGAATAGATTTGCCGTACATCAAGAATATAAGTTTCCGTATAAAGCAGCAGGTTCGTGAGATATATTTTTCACATATAATACTTTAAGATCCATTGTTGTAATACCTTAAGATCTTTCAAATATGTGTCGGTTACTACATCCCATCCGATGATTCCATAAGTCAGCTGCGATTGGATCAATGCAATGCTGCTAACTATCAAGTAATATTTGCTCAGGAAATTTTTCAGGAACCTGGACCTTATTTGCCGGTGTGTAAATTCCACCTAAAGAGCTTGTCCACCATAACGCCAAGGTATTTTAGACAGGCTGACTCACGAATATTTATATGTGTCAACTTGTAATATTCCTAAATTGGATGCATATTTAGTGTAAAATGTAAATGTCATATATTTTGTTTTATCAAATTCATTGTTAATTTGTTGAATCGGAGCTAATCAACTATTGATTTAAAATCAAGTTCTACCGTTTCCTTCAGTAAGCTTCATACAACGGTGTCATCTGCGAAGCTTATTATATGATCTTGAATATTTTTTTTGAAGGAGACTGTTTATCTTAGTCGCTAACAACAGCCGCCCTAGGACTACCACTTGCGGAACTCCACAAACCGCTGTCCTCGGAGGGATAGTCACACTATTCACACCAACAACCTGCCTGAGGTCTGTTTTCCCAGTCATCCAAATTGACAGTAACCTATTGTCTACCAATAACCAGATCTTTTAGGAGTGAATGTAAGACCTCTTAGCTTCTGGACTTGTCAGGTTATGTAACCTTTTCATCTCCTACAGGAAGGTCTTAATGTGTTACGCTACATTGCTGGACAAAACAATTGAGTGTTTAGACAACTAGTTTGGCAAATGGTAAGACTCTGCAGTACTCATAGTTACTGTACCAAAAGATCCAACGATACATATAAGTGTTAGATTTTCCAAAACTGCTTGGCCATCGGAGCGCATATGCTTGTACCACCTTGTTTTATTCTGAATGTCACTATTAGGAAAGCATATCACAGTCTTTACTCCCAGATTGAGGATATTGGCAGATTTCTTACGCCGTCTCGTTTTACCCAGGATCCAAAAACGGCTAAACTACAAGAATATATCTATCTGCTGTCCAATACATACATATAACAATACTCGAACTTGAAACTATTCTAATACAAAAGGTATTCACCTATAATTTGTTATTTGTGTAAGGTTTGAACTTATTTTAGTAAGACATCATGGAGTATCTGCATTGTCTCCCAAACACTTGAGCCATCAAGCAAATTAAACCTTAGACGTCGAGAAAAAGAAGAGCATAAACAACCATATGGCGCGCGGATGTCGTCCGCTTCGAAACGGCAGTACCGACCATCCAGTACCATGGTGAGTTGTAGGTGGACGGGTACCACGACGACAGCCAAAGGTAAACGAACTGCCTTGATCGAGTTGCTGGCTTGGCTGCTTTTAGCAACCGAGAAGGATGAGCGTACTAGCACCATCAGTACTGCCATTGTGGTTGGACCCGAAGAACAGGTACCACGATACCGGCAGCAGGTTGTTGCTCAGTATGTCTGTGGCGGATAGTATTTTTGTCTCGCCTTTTTGTCGAGCGTGGGCTAAAAAAAGTGCGGTCATTGTTGCAAACACGACCACTACAACTATCTCAGTTTCGATCTGTAGGGTTAGAGAACCTTCTATGAAATGGGTGGTGTTGCTCTATCAAAAGCTGCCCCGAAAATGTACAGCATACACACTTATGTATAGTCTAAATGTTTAATCGATTATAGTACCTAAATGTTTAAAACTGTCTACAATGTAATATATTTCTTCTGACCAATTCATATGTACTAATTTTCTTGCAATTATTTTTGCAACCTGTAAAATTATACATAGATACCCCCAAGAATTTTTGCGGAAAGGATGAGGATTGGACATTTTCAGGAGAAAAATTCCCTGTTTATTATATGTGTCCACTCCAAAAAATTTCTGGGTTGAGGGAGGTAGCATTCTCTCAATGTGAGCCAAATCTCAAAAATCTTAATCTTTTGTTATAAGTATTTGTACATCTTGCTAGGATGGGCTTACTTGTGCCAAACATAATCATTTAAGAACTGATGACAGCGTTGCATGGGAAGTGAAGAGTCCATGTACTTGACGCCATTTTTAGCACTCTTTTATTAGCTTGTATGTCACCAATTTCATAAGTCTGATTGGCTTCAAAATTTGCACAGAGGTCAATGCCAATACTCAATAATCTTGGAGAACAAATCGATTTGAATATTATAAAAAAAAATCAAGCTCCCCACTTTTTTACTATATTTGAATTTTTTGTTGATATCTCAATTTTATATTGATCTCATTCCAAACTAATTACTCATACTTGATTGTTGGAATTTCTATTGCAGCAACTCTTCTATACTTAAAAATTAATTTGTATTGTTTAGTTCGAATTCAAATTAAAGCGTTCTTTTAGTTTATTTTAATAACTTTTTAGCTGTTTTTATCTGATTCCTTACGATGTTATCTTCATGTAACATGAAACGCGAGGAAGTACCAGCTGTCGCTGCCAAAAATATACTATACTGGGATCCAATGTTTTGGAATCCCCGAGCTGAGACTTGACTTTGCTGGAAGGGATAATCTTGGAGTCTAACATGGCTAGAGATGGAAAAGGGTCTGAAGGATGCCACATGTACCGGTACCGCAGAGTTGGAAAGGTAAGTAAAAGTTTATTGTGTAAGATTAGCACAGTAGCTTTAAACTGCATGTGACACCCATCGATTGAATTGTTCTTCACTTTTTTGAGATAGAAGTAGTCAAGCAGCTGGATTTTAACTAGGCCTTATAGAGGAGCAGGCAATTGGATAGTGAATGGTTTTCCTGCACAAACAATCGACCTTCTTAGCAGCTGCTGCTGCTACTTCTAAAATAATTATTATGACATCAATAAGATTCGAAACATGGCAGCTATGTTTTAAGCCTCTCACTTGATAAACAGAGGAAACAAACCCGTATGACGAAGAAGAGTCGAACTTTATAGACATGCACAGTGAAGAACTATAAAACTATAAGTGCGAAAGTAATGAGACAAAGCACTGCTAAAATGTAGCGTAGAAAAAAAACAAACGCTTACTTCTGGTAAGAACTAAATTGTCTGCTTCGTTTTGGGAAGTACATCTTCAACCTAGCCTTCCCATCGATTACAAGACCCATACAATACCCGCCTGCTCACATAAATGCAGAGCTGCTGTCCGACACAAGCTTTTTATACTTAAGGCGGTTCAAAGAGGAACCGGATGATTGTTGGTTGACACCCCTTTAACGGGTGGCTTCCAGTTTCCTTTTATTTTCTACCCCTGCGTGGAAGTATTTGTAACCGCGAAAATGATGAAAAATGAGATATTGTGTTTTTTGGAAGTTATATGACATATACATCACGAAAAACCGTGTTACCCATTTCTGTCGGTCTGTCTGTCTGTCGGCCTGTCAGCTAATCTTTGAGCCGCTTGTAACTTGTAAAGTATGTGTGCAAAAGCTTTGTAGCCTTTGAAAATCTGTCTAGTCGCGGCGAAGCTGTGAGCAAAAACAAAAGAAAAACGGTTTAGAGGCTTCTGACCATTATGAGAAATAAATTTGTATTTGTTCAAAATGGGAAATGAGGGTTGTTGGGGGTGGGGGAAGCTATAGCTCCTTTTGTTGGCTGCAGTATATTTATACCCTTCCAACCCCAATAATCTTACGCACCTATCAGTACATATTTGACAAAACAAATATTTCCCCGTACATTTGGTCTTATAACTTAGGGGAATATTTATAGGCGAGATACGCGGTCGGTCGGGACGATGCGATCCAACGGCGACTCTCATATGCCGAATCCTGCCTTACGTCTGACAGCTTCGCCGGCAGGGATATTACGTTATACTATCAAGGCTGATACTTAGGACGTGTTTGACTGGTATAGTCCAGGAGGGGCAGATAAGACACTAGCTTTAGCGTTATCAAACGACTGAGGCCTATGGAGAATGTACTGATTGTATATGTGCCTGTTTGGCTGACTTGAACCATTTAATTTTATTGTTATTCATGTATGTAGTTAGCTCAAGGTCACTAACTTGGGCCGAACATAATCCTTTATGAAGTAATGACTGCGTGGCGTGGGAGGTCGGTGGGTTTCATTGCCATTGACAAAATTCAAAGTTAGCACAGTATCTCAACGAGGTACATGAACCGTTGATATGATTAAGACGATTAATTTATCATAATTTTGTCAACATGTATTAACAATCTTCGCTTATCTAACCTATGCTTGTACCTACTTCCAGCACCATGTACTCGCAAAAAAATCCTCCACCTTCATCCGAACTTATGTAAATGACGGCTTAAGTGCCATCTTCTTTGCACACCCATAAATCATTCTATTTTTTTCTCCTCTCTTTTTTTAAGCCGGCTTGCGTCGCAGAGATATTGTTTTGGAAAGCGTGTCATTTTCGGCCGTATCTCAGTCTCACTCGCGGATCGAGGTGTCTCGTGAACGGATTTTAATACAGACAAATTAGACAAAGGCGCGTACTTGCGATGGCCTTTTTTCTTATCCTCCCACAAATTGAAAAAAACATGATTACGTCTTATGTAGATCTCGCTAAATAATGGTATAAATCGATAAAAAGATTAAGTGTATGAAAATGTCATGCATCAGCTTTCACAAATTATAAACGACTAATACCCTAAAGGGACTAGGAAGTTGAAATACGTTGAAAATGCGGATTATGTCGATAATCCTCCATATTATAATAAAGAATACTCCTTCAAAGTATGTGGTTTAAATAGACTGGCCAGAGAGATATGATGGGGCTATGGTGGTCTTTGCTTTTACTCGAACAGAAACGTTTGATTACATGTAGAATCAACAGTAACTTGAAGAAAAACAGAAAACATTATAGAGCTTCATTTTTTCGTATAATGCTCACCACCAGTGAAGTTTTTCTTCTGCAAACACTTACCTACTGAGTATTTAGCAGCAAAATAAAGAATTTGAATTTGAATTGACATGGAAATGAGGATCTCGACTCAAATAAATTGGATGTAATCCCTCTTTTTTAGCGTATAACAGCCGTTTCTAAAAACTAATTTTCCTGGTGTATATGTTGGAAAAGCTGAGCTGTAATCGGCCATTCTGCACATGCCATCCGTAATGCGGATTAATAGGGCCATTTGGCGCGTTAATATCCCGCCAAAAAAGCGAACATTTTTCACGGTTATGCCTCCAAGAGATCTGTATGATTCGAGATACCTGTTGCACTTCTTCTTGTCCGCATAAACATGTCAAACCGTGTTGCTTTTATATCTCATAGCTCTATATCAACCTTCACTGGGAATACTTTCCATACAGAGCTGCTGTGTGCAGATTTTGTAGGTTAACAAAACAGAAAGAAGACTACCCACAAGTAAGTGCCGAATTTTTTCATCAAGAGAGAATGTAACCTCATAAAACAAATGACACATCTACAACATGTTGGATCCAGTAAAGCTAATCAAAAATTGGCGTCACCAGCGGCCACGGTGAAAACTACTTTGTAAATTTGAAACTGTGAACTGTGAAAATAATCGTTTATACATTAAATACACACAACTGTATTATCTCATTAATATGTGAATTTACGCTATTAGCGTTGTATAAACAAGAAAAGACCATACATTATGGAAATATTCCTTTAGCAGTGTACATCATTATTATCACCATATACGAGTATGGTGAAAACTTATTGATAAAAAAGTGATGCGAAAGGAAAGGAAAATACTAATCTTGAGAAAATGGAATGTTCGCAGATCTCTCGCTTTTCAATTCAACCTGTGGATGCTCCTTGAACAAGAGCCGAATTAGGAGCGACCTTCATCCATCTGTTTAGTGTATCAAAAATTTTAAAGTATTTCATATCAATTTTAGCAAGTAAAAATATACTCGTATCGCGGGTAGGTTGGCTTAGGCCCATATCGTCATTCGTCCCTACAATTGTAGGGCGCGTTTATGGCCTCCTTGATTGTCATACTCCTTTCTTTCCTTCAAAAATTTCTAGATTACACTTGTCCCGTGTCAGCGTCAGCGCTCTCCTATTGTGAAGATATGTTTTCTTTTTAAATTGTAGGAAATTTCAGGCTGATAAAACATGATATAACTCAAAAGCAAGCACAATTTGATGCAAATAGATGTTTGTGACATAACCTCAAAATACAGTTCTGACACGGAGAAGTAGAAAACTATGACAATCAAGGAGGCCATAAAGCCGCCCTACAATTGTAGGGACGACTGACGATACGGGCCTAAGCAATTCCTGGCGAGACTGATTAATTAAAAACTGAAAAATGTCTTTTTATTTAAAGTTGCTCTAGTAAGCTTAACGAATAAATTCAATACCAACCGAACGTATAAAGCCTATAGAATATTATGCAAAGTTTGGGTTTTCTTCCCGGCGTAACTAGTGCGTTGGAATGTATGCCATTACTAGTAGTAACCGATCTGTTTAGTAAATACGGACCTTTTGATTGTGAACACGATGATGGGGGTACCAGCGAAAAACCTGTCTGAAACGATGGTTGGGATGTTTTTAAGAGTGAAATTTTTATGTGAATGGAAACCTGCTACAAAGAGATCCGAGCTACGTTTCCCCTGCGATAGAAGAACATGCATGTAAGGTATTTAGCCTTCCTTTTTTTGTGGTAATTGGTTCAGAAAAAAATAAAAGCTCAGTGCACAAAATTGTTCTAAATGATTTATTGGGTAGTTGGACAATAAATAAAATAACATTGTAACACCTTGTACGGGGTTAGTGTGCTGAGTTTAGATAACCCAACCAACGTTTGCATATTATTCATACTTTCGGTTGGTATTAAATTTAGTCTGATTAATGCAACTTTTAATAAAAGGTCGTTCTTCGATCTCTAATTAATTATACTCGCTAGGAATTTTTGAGCCAACCTATACGCGATATATTTTTTTTCGTACTAAATTTGATATAAAATACTTTTTATCCATTCAGGTCGTTTCTAATTCGGATCTTACACTACACTTAGAGACTTTTTATTTAGATTATTATACGGACTAGCACTTGTACTTTACATCTTAACAAGTCAGCAAAGACCATATCTAATTTGCTGAACAATCATAGTCCACACAAGGCTTTGATATGATTGTTGTTCGATGTCAAGGTAGCATTACATACTTGAAACACACCGGGGACCTTATTTCAGCATCTATGTTTTCCAATTTCGATACTCAAGTTACAATACCTTATATACAAATTTATGAACAAAATTGCGTGTCGAATACTAGAAACTCGTTATAATGCAATGCCCCCCATGTCAGCCTCTTCTCTTCCCAATAGATTTATGTACGGAAACGCAACAAATCCATAACGTGTCCGACATGTGACTCACCGTACGCTTAACTTATGCCGCACTCAATGATTAGCTGATTACATTTGAATACATAAATTGATTTGGGCCTACATATCACGTATAGCTCGACCATGAGCGGAGCTACTGGGACAAATATATAGGGAAACTGCACTTTTATCCACCATATATAGAATTTAGAAAACTACTTGTATCGGTCAGTTTTCGAGCTATTACACGATAGGCTAGTAGTCACTTTTTAAGTAGGTCTTAAATAGTTAATATTTTTTTGAGACCTAAAAACCGCAAAACTATGATCAAAAACTATATTTTTCTTAGAGAAGCGAAGACTCTGTCCGCCATGTCTCGCCCATAGGATAATGCGCTCGACGTCATAACATTAGTAAACAGCAGCTGACAGAACCATAACCTGTATATAAGCACTTCTACTAGTTTATATAAAAAGGATAGTAGTTATCGTTATTGTATCGTCCGAGAATGTAAAAATGCATCGATAAAGACTCCAGAGTCTTGATCCACTATAACTCAAATGTATTCCTGTGAAGCTCACTTTGATGTAAAATTAAATAAAATTATTCACAGATCATGACGCATGAACATAGCCTTGACTTCTGAAAAGGCAGATAATTATGTCTAATGTCTATCATTGTATTAGAAGCATAGTACTTAGAAATCTTGATGTTCCTCAGCTCGGCAGAGCAGAAACCTGGGTGGAGGTACCAACCATCGATGTGTCAATTTTCGGCAAATTTGTGCTTTCTGCTTTTACGAATCTAACCTTCACGATTGAGTTTTTAAATTAGATTAGAAAACGATAACTTTTTACGTGGATTAGGAATTTTTTTAAAATATGTAAAGAAAACAACGTTGTGGGTGCCCATAACCTATCTTTGTTTACAACTTGTATGACGTCATATCATGGCCGATAGCGTTTCCGTTGTTTCAAATTAAAAATAAGAATTTTTTTCTTTAATTGGACTTATTTATCCATCTTGCTCCTTTAAAAATTGAAATCGATATATTTTGTTTTACCAAGCCAAATACTGTAATTTATTCTATGAATTTAGATAAGAGTCAAGTAGCCTATTGTTTTGTAATGAGTCGTCCCTTCTTGGTTCTTGCTCTGCTTAGGAATTCTAACCTTTCAAAAAGTTGAAACTAAAAAAATCGGTGCTTCTCGGCATATTTGATTGGCAGATGCGAGAAGCGAACATGTTCCATGGAGCATGAGTTTAGTTCATGCAAAGTTCATGGTATGGTGTAGTAGTCCGTTTCATCAAATCGGATTGTCAATCAGAGAGGCCAGGAACCTGTTTCCTGCTATTGATGCAGGTATCGGTTGTGCCGCGAACTACTCATAGGAGGCGACATCACTCTTCGCACACCACAATCCAATTAGTAGATCCGAGGGACGCCGATGGTAGACCCACATTCGATTTTTCGCTTTCCGCCACCTGTTTCCAAATTACTAGATCTATACCGTGCTGATGGTTGCTGAAAAGTATAAAATTACGTTGTTGACGCTAGGTGATGGTCACAGAGATGGAAGAAAACCGATCCCATTCACCCTATAATTTGCGGAAGTCGAAAAAGCTTGAGATGAGAATCTTCATATTTTCTTTGTTGCTTTTTGGATATACCCACCTAGAATAACTATTGAAAAGATTAAATACCGTATTTTCACGGTTTTTGGCCGGACACAGCAAAGGGTAGTTATATCAACAGAATACACTTCTTGAAATGCCTTTATAATACGCCGGTCGGACCCATTGACATTGGGAGTCATCTGCGTTATAGTAGGAAAGCCGACCGTAACTTTTTTGTTACATCATCCCGTACTGATATACGATAAAAAACTAGTCACATCTTACGTATTTTGATGCTAAGCAGCAAATTTGTCGACTTTGCTTTATTATTACTGCATGTTTAAATTCTTTGTGCCGCCTCTGGTTATTAACTCCATACTGCTTGTTGCTCTGGGCATATAAATATTCACCTTTTGTCTTTGTTGTTGCCTGTGTCCGTATTTCGGACCTGTTCTATCGGGTGTTCCTGAAATCGATACCTAGCGTCTTTGCACATACTATTGGTATGGGAGCTACAGAAAAATGAACATGACAATATTTAAATATGCTATAAAAACATGTGAAGCTTCTGGTTGCGTTCCCCGTATGCGTCTAAAACTAGTTGTCCCAACTCCTCTTTTATTCTAAGCGAGTCGATATTGTGAGACAATCTGCCTGATGAGATTTTAGTCAGTTCAACATGTTATCTTTAACACTTCATGTTATAATTGTACCTCGGTACTTAGGTGTCTTCAATATAAAGATTGTCAAAGAAAACTTCTTGACTGACATCCGCTCTTGTCCTCTCAAATGCACAACATTGATAAGCACCTGATTTCTTTCTTATTGTAAATCGCAACGAACAAAAGCTCTCCCTGTGTGAATGGCAGCTGGGATTTCTTATTCCTAGTGTGTCGTTATAATACCTACAATTCATCAAGTATCACCATAAGAGTCATTACCGTCTTTCAACTAATATAGAAAAGAAGAGCAGAGGAAAACAGCACACGCGTCGAGGCTGAAAACTATGCCCCCTGTCTTCATCTGCGTGTATATAACCTTCATTAGAAATATCATCAGAGTTAACGACTGAAGTCTATTTTCTACCCCTGTACCGTTTTGTCACCCTCATAGCAAGGCTGTTTGACGATACAGGCCTAAATAATACTGGAAACTAAAAACTGTCTGTATACTTCATACAGTGGTAAAGCGTAAGAGTAAAACGAATTATCGATCTATGATTATCTCGTGATGACCTTACGTTACTAAACATAATTTTTTATTGCAATAAAAAGTCAACGATCTCATTTGACTGACCTGTTTCTAGCGCCACATAGTTTCAGAAATACTTGAATTCTAAATATATAAATACTGATTGCGATATGATCTGATGAAAAATAGTTTTTGTGGTCCGAAAAGTGGCACTATCTCCTACACCATAATTACTAATGGCCGTCGCCCGGTGTTTCGCACAGCCTCTCTGTAACCATACGTAACTGCCGCTGCTTGTACATATTTTATGATCTACCAGAATTAAAATGTATTACGCCTTCAATGTTAATAATATCACGAATAGTAAGTCGACACACTCGCTGCCGGTAGATAGTCTGAAAAAGAATCGTTGTTTGTCGGCTGGTCACACCCTCTTAATGTATAAGAACTGGATATAGTAAATTAAGAGTTGGAGTTACCGTAAACGGGTTGATCATGGATACATGGCTGATAAATGTGTCAGATATTGGAGACATGGAATGGAAGGTCCTCATACTACGGAAGGTAGATGAAGTAACCTTCAAGAAGCAGGATGAGGCGCACCATTTCCAGAGAATGTACCACATGAGCTTGCTTCCACCAGTAAAATCAAATAAAATCGAGTTTAATACGACTACTTTCCAGATCATAATATATTCCTACTGATAAAGTGTCCTCAACGTCTACATCATATAATATCATTGTAGGAGTTCCTCACGGACGCTAATCTCCCCGCGTTGCATGAAGTCGTATTACTGAAGACATCATGTGTCACAAACTTATTGCAAGCTAGTAAAATGCACCTATTCTTCAGGATCTAATATCCGTTAGTCTTTACAAAGTCAAGAACAGGTCCGGCTTAACGTCCTAAAACGTGTCATGTGGTTATCTCGATGATTCATCTCTATGCTTCACATCAAACGGTCGCTTCATTTAGAGACCATTGCAAACAAAGATATTTAGAGAGCTGCTGCCGTACTTAGACTGGTTATACGTTATAGTTTCTTAATAAGTTGATTGGCTCATCGGCACTCTCTTCCACGATGTCGTCGCAAGCTAGGCCTGCCAGAACAGCCTGCTAGGCACTGCATTTCATTCTTATTGGGTGGAACTGTGTACTCTTGAAACTGGTCAGTATGATTGCTTTTTCACTACCCACGCCAGTAACCGAGGAATAAATGTAATCTCGAGAGACTTTTAAAATTGGCGTTCTGTTCCTTGAATGTTAAGCCGCGTATACATTTGAGCACGAATATGAATGAGCACAACCCGAACGAGCTGATCCTCTGTTCGGGATCAGAATTGAAATCGGTACGAGCACGAATGAACATCCTGTTCGCAACCGCTCCAGTTATTCGGATCTACCCGTTTTAAAATGGCAGACATGCAACTAGTCAGTGCCAGTTTCATAGTTTTATATAATTTATTAAAGAAAAGCAAGAAGAAAAAGAGGCGCAGTTGGACATCGCCATTGTTTGTAATGAGGAGCAGAGAACCAGACGTCAATAGCAGTTTTTTATTGCAAAATTTACTGTCGGAAGGATACCAATGCCGATTTAAAAATTTTACAAGAATGTCTATGGAAGACTTCAATTTTATTTTAAACCACATAAGAGAGAGAATATTCAAAAGTGACACCAAATTTAGAAAAGCAATACCATGCGATGAAAGACTTGCAGTGACTCTTCGCTTTCTTGCTACTGGAGATTCCTATGTGAGTCTCCAGTATTTATTTAAGATTTCAAAACAAGCGATATCCCGTATAATTCCAGAGGTGTGTGAAGCCATTATACACTGTCTTGGGGATTTTATTAAGGTATGTAAATAAATATATTTCAAAGCAAAATCTACATAATTATTTATTTATTGTTTTACTAAACCACAAAAGTACAATTCTAATATTTATCTGGAACAATTATTAATCGTCGTAATCGGGGCTGAAATTTTCTACAAAATTAGAAAGATTCGACGATGTAACTGCCTATTGAAGACTGGGTACTTGCAGTAGTAGACGAATGTGTGGGGATTTCTATGTCCAAATTTGTCAGGTTCTGACTTTGAATAAATGCGGGAGCTTGCGCTGTACGTTGGTAACTTGGCATGTTATACGTTTCAAATGAAGGAGAGCGTGCTATATGAGTCTGTGTAATTGGTGGTTCGAAAACTTGGGTTGAGGACATGGATGGGAAAACTTGGGTATGCTGAGAGGTCTGTGCGTGGGCTGACAACTGCATGATTTCTACTTCAAACAAATTATTATTAATCTTATGTTGTGCAATAGCTCGGTGGCGGTCATCTAGTTTTCTCAGTTTATGTGCCACATATTCACCGTATGATGCACATTCATCTTTACTTTCTTGAGGCCTTTCCCCGGCTTTTCGTTTTGGGGCAGATTTTTTTGGAGATGCAAATACTTTCTTCTTAACTTCTGCAATTGGTGACGTGTGTCTATCCGAATGAATTTCTTCATGAGAACTGTCCAAATCAATAATCGCGTTTTCTGCACCTTCGTTACTGCTGTCGTAGTGTAAGCTATCGGTGTCGTCTTCATTATTTCCCTTAACGTCATCATTCGCCATTTGTGAATTCTACAAAAATATTTGTATATTACTCTTGCGAGCTTTATTTTATTTTTTTTATAGGTACCGTCGTCTACAGAGGAATGGAAAGAAATATCAAAACGATTTGAAGAAGTTTGGAACTTCCCACATTGTGTAGGGGCAGTTGATGGAAAACATGTACTTTTGCAAGCCCCGATGAAAAGTGGAAGTGATTTTTTTAATTACAAATCGCAATACAGCATCGTTTTGATGGCTGTGGTGGACGTGGACTACAATTTCACATTTGTGGACATAGGTTGCCAAGGGCGAATTTCTGATGGCGGTGTGTTTAAACGATGTGATCTTTATCAAAAAATTGCCAATGGAACTTTAAATTTTCCTCAAAATTCACCATTACCTGGTCGCACAAAACAGACACCGTATGTATTGATAGGAGACGCAGTTTTCCCTCTATGTGATTATTTAATAAAACCTTATTCTGGGAATCACGAAAGAGGATCTATGAAGCGAATTTTTAACTACCGTTTGAGCAGAGCTCGCCGCGTCGTTGAGAACGCGTTTGGAATAGCCTCTAGTGTATTTCGAGTTTTACGAAAACCGATGCTTTTAGAACCAGAAAAGGCACAATTGATAGTCATGACAATAGTGTGTTTGCATAATTTTCTACGTAAAAGTAGAACTTCTAGAAATGTATACACCCCTCCAGGTAGTCTAGATGAGGAAGTTAATGGACATATTGTGCCAGGTAGTTGGCGCAGTGACGTGCCATCGTCTTCATTCATGTCTCTTACAAACACACCACGTCGAGCACCGCTTTCGGCCATCGAAATTAGAGAAGAATTTTGTCAATATTTTAATTCAACGGGCAAAATCATTACGCATAAATTTAATCTTCGATTTAATAACATTTGTACTCTTAATAAAACACTCTGTAAACACTTACGCTTCTGGTTTTCCTTGCTTGATCCCTGTCATGTAGAAACCTCATACTTTCGTAAGCAAACCATTTTGAAGAATAAATATCGTCTCGTCCTAAAAATTTTTTTTTCAGCAGTCAGTATATTTACATAATTAACTAAGTATATCTTATCTTACCTTTACCCGTGCCCATACTTTTTTTTCTTTTGCCTTCTCCCGTCGATATGATCCCTTCAGACTTTCAAACTTCTTCTTTAATTCATTTATGTTGACATTACTTTCGTTAGCTATTTCCCGCCATGCATCTTCCTTTTTAATATTATTATAATATTGTGGATAATTTTAATAAGTTTTTTGGTAATAACTTATAATTTCTAAACACTTCTCCTGTGTCCATTCCATTTCTAACACTCTTATTTTCAAGCAAAAATGTTTCCAGCATGTACTTAAATGCAATGAGTTAAATGAACGCGTATTTTTGTTCAGGTCCGAACACGTCTACGGCGCGCGGATCGGTCTGAGCGTATTCGCCGAACAAAGCGTGCACGTTCGGTTCGCTTCGGATTCCAGTTCACATCAGAATGCTCGTTCCGTTCGCATTGTGCTCATTCGGCTTCGTGCTCAAATGTATACGCGGCTTAACATGACAAGGTGTCATTAGTTTCCATATGTACCTCTCCACTAATCCATGACCTCTATAAAATAATATTTCTGGGATTTCTCTGTCTATTACTGAACATTTTTTCTTGGTAAGGTTTGAGGTGGAGGCTTGCAAGAGATAGGGGAGAGTATATTTGAATTTTTTGGCTTGAGTACATTTAAATGCTTTTAACCTCGGTAACTTTACGCACCTACTAGACATATTTCATACCTCTATTCATCTCTACAGTTACCCTCAAGATCTAAAATGGTGATAAACAAGTTGGTAGTTGACTTTATACAAGAGGAGCGAACTTGTGCACAACCTAATATTTTATGAGCACACGACCGCGTTATATGGGAATGCAGAGTCACCCTATTTCGACTATCGACTAATTTTGTTTATTTTCATTAAGCTTAGCCAGTTAAAAATTTGTATTGGCTTCTACAAAACAGTCACGGTTTTTGGGTTTTAGTAAACAATAATTCACCAGCACCCAAAAAAAAATGATACATTTGACTAGACTCACCTGGAGTTATGTATTTCGACGCGATGTAAAAAACCGCTAAGAATCGCAAAAATTGTACTTACAAATAACTTTAAATGTATTTATATAAGCTGATTAAAAATCTTAAGTTAATTTCGCTCGAAGACCGTCCAAATTTCGAGTAAATTGCATAAAATTGTCAAGAATCGCTAGAAGCCATACAAAATTGTAACTATGCAACCGAACAATTTTTTCTGGATCAAGTATATATATCATGTACTTCGATGCGTTCAATCCTGTTGACTATGCGAGTTTGCAGTGAATTGCGAAAAACCGCCTCAAATAGCCAAAAAGATGTGAAAATTGCTAATCATCTAAGCGAAAATCTGCCATCCTGTTGAGGCTCCACCTTCTTTAACAACGATTTTCCATTTCACTCATTTCTTGGTGAAATCGCTCTCCTTGTTCGTCACTGCAGTCTCCAAGATCTGAAGGCACGGAGCAAGGAAGTTGAGATATCTATCGCTAGTTCCTGTTACCAAGGCACCTTCACGTGGTGGTGGTGGGCACAAGCGATAAATGATCCAAGCCTCAGGATACAGGGATTAGGAACTCCATTATCGACGAGTGGTCGAGATGAGAAATTTAGCCGCAGACATCGGGTCGACAATCTAGCGGCCAGCTCTACATTAGTAGCTTAGGTAGGGTGTAATATTGACAATAAGCTACTCCCATATATGTAACAAAAGCCCTCATTGGTTTTGTTATTTAAGTGGAAAATTTGTAATACATATACCCAAGGTATTCATCTTCCATTTTTTTATTTGCATAAGTACAATTTTTTAATGAATTTTAGCCATTGCTATCGGTTTTTTAGAAATTACTCAAAATTTTTAGGAAGTGCCGGCCTCGAATTCGGATTCAACGCATCGCATATATAACCCTAGGTGGGTCTAGTCAAATATAGTGATATTCAAAAATGGATAAGGGGGTCAATAGCAATACCAATTATGTGCCCAATAAACTAAAGAAGCTCTACATGAATGCACAAATTCATTCCGATTTGTCGGGTTAATAGTGAGAAAAAATACTACTGAAAGCACTTCGTTAACTCTAGATCCAATAATAATCACCTCTTTGTGATAACCAACTATCAATTGCACTCAAAAAATAACAAGAATCAACTACCTCCTTCCTACCTTGCTTGATAAAAGTTAACCTGTTCAGTTTCAGCAAAGCTGTACAACAGCATTGGTAATTGAAAGGACCTTTGACAATTTAAAAGTACGTCCTTACTCTTTGCAAACCTTCGCGGCGCGTGGCCTTAGAACCAGTCCAAAAAATAATCCACCTTATATTCAATATTCACGTTCCCTGAGAAAAAATCAAATCGTGCATTGAGTATAGTACCAGAACGCAGTCGGTGTACAAAGAGTCATTACGAAACGACTGCAAGTAAACAGATTGTCCACCGACCACAAATTGATCACAATAAGAGAACTGGCTGCTAAACGTTATAATTTAGCCATTTCAGTGGTTGCGTATACACAGGGTGTACTGATATTCAACACAAATTCAACATGTTTAATGGGGGAGAAGAGATTTTCCCAAAAGACTTGGAAGTTGTCACTTTAAGATTCCGAGGAAGTACATATCCTGCTTTACTCGTATGAAAATTGGACATGGCTCCTTCCCGTCGCACCTCGCTAGGTTGAAACTAATACCCTCGGAACTTTGTGAGCATTGCAGTGTCAAAGAAGACTTGGATCACATCTTTTTCGGTTGTATTAAGCATCTTACACACTTGACAATCTTTACCTAAACTTACTCGTGCGCAGGTTTCCGGCTCCACAATCACTTCTCTCGCTACAAAAACCTGAAGTGACTTCCTGCTTTATGGAATTTATCAAAAATTCTGGTATCAAAATCTAGAGTCGCTAAAATCAATATATTCTCTTTGTCTCCCTTTATCCGTCATCCAGACAGGGTTAATGGTTATAAATTATAGTGTTACCTATATAAGTTTTAGCGTTTTTCCTCTGTCCTTTCGATATATATGTATTTTCATTCTTCTTACCGGGCGAATACCTCAAATTTCCTATTCTATACATAGATATACTAGATTAGTTTTCCTCGTGATGCTTTCTCTACGAAAATTTTTTGATCATAATATTCTTATTATATGGTATATAACTTGTATCTGGTTGATGGGTTATATCCCAGTGCCATTATTTAAAAAAAAGTTGGCACTGCTTGGTATCATGGGAATCTAGTCAGCATCCAACGTTCTTACTCTGTATAGAGCCTGGATACAACCTGGCGTGAGACACTGTCCATATGTCTTGAGATGGACTGGTGGAACTTCATTAACACAATCCGACTCACGGATGGTTAGTGAACTTAAGCGTGTTTATCGAATTTGCTCTTTTCTCATGATGCTGCCACTTTGTAGGTTTGTTAAACTAGCTTACCAATTCACAGTCCAACTTCATAGTACTTTAAATCTACTTGTATAATAATTATTATCGGCGACTAAAGGAAAGTTACCTATTATCGGATACTTTTTTATTTTAGGCAACACAAACTAGTTGATATCTACCTAGAACGCTAAGATGTTGAGAATTATTTACATAGTATGTCTTCTTGTATAATTTGAAAGCAGATCTCTCCAACTCATAATTTTTTTTCGAAAATTGCGAATAATCATTGGAGTGCAAACAGTACTCTTTTAAAATAGGGTTCCCAATATCGGATCTGTTTCTAATATCCCACTTGTCCGATATTAGGAACTCAAAGGTTTGAAAAAAGGCCAACGGAATTTATTTCCATGTTTTATTAATTTAATACCAAGGAGCAAAATAACTTAATAAAATGAGAAAAATTGCTAATTAATCTCAACAGATTTCATAAAATGGGTAACGAATACAAACAATTTTCACAAATGAAAGCTGAATTTTTGTCAGTCCCCGTGCATCCTTCATGAGACCAACGGAAACATTGATTACATCCAATCCATTCTTTTCCTCTTGTGTCATTATAAATTATAATATAAATAAAATATAAATTGTTACAGTATAAGACGCTCAGCGTGTTCCTCATCTCTATCCATATCATCATCACTGTCAATTAATTGCACTTCTGTTTCGGTATCTTCACTAGAAGAGCTTGAAGATCGCTTAGCTATTTTCTGTTTTCCTTTTCCTTTGATATTGTCCTTTGGTTTGTTCTTAACCTTAGTTCATTTTAACTGGTTCCCTATATCGGATAAGCGATATTAACGAACCCAAAGTGTCCGATATTATGGCACATAACCTTACTAAATTCATTATTTTGTTTTACGGAGAAAAAATGAATTTGTCCTATGAATTCAGTATTAAGTAAAAGTCTGAAATCTATTTGATCCGATGTTATATAATGAACAAAAGAATAAATTCACCTTTTGGAAATATAACGTCACTAATTACGGAGTGTTAAAATACTCACATGTCAAGAATATGTACATCAGCAGAATGGTGCACTCAACTAAATTGTAGGGGTCTGCAATTTTAACAAGAATGTTCTGCATCATTGTGCTCTTGACTAGTATAAAATTTCATAGATGGCGAAACCTGAGAAAAGAAACGCCGATATCCGATATTAGGAACCTACACGGTATTAGGCTACTTTCCTAAATTTAGTACAAAATTTCGTACGTGACAGGCGGCCTTTAACCAAGAATTAGTCTTTTGTTCTACTGTTTTCCGCTTATACCAAATGAGAATAAATTTCTCCAGCTGAACCACTGGTTTTCAAAAAAGATCATTCTCGAGCTGTTAGTATACCGGTTCAAACAATCAGTAATATTGCATTAGAGACAATCCGTTCCTGGTTCAACTAAGTGAGCCATTCGTTTCCCTAGGAACTTTTGGTTATATGAGACAGTGTTATTAAAAAGTTATTCAAGTAAAACCTATCATCCCTTGCATTTTTGCTCCATATTGTAGAAGGAGCGCTGTCTTTGTGACTATTCCGTTCTGTATGAGAGACTGAAAGCTTTTGCAAAACCATGTCCCCTTGTACGATAATAGAACGTAAAATCGTGAGCTTGTGTGTGGTACAGTTTGCTAATGAATATCCCATTATTCTACCATTGACATTTTATAACTAATTTGTTTCACTATTGTACATAAGAGTTTAATTGTGACCGAGCGATATTGAAGACTTCATTGTTGAACGACTCGAAAGTACATTCTCAGATAGAAAGAGTGTGATTTATAGGGAATTCTCTTGTATGCGCTACATTCTATTATACTCAAATGTAGCGAAATGGTTTATGTATACCAGGAAATACCATGGTAACATAATAACTTGGCATCTAATAGAGAGAAAAATTGAGCTCCAGGCCCAACAATGGACCAGCATTTGGAACAGATAACACAGTACTAGATTCCCATTTGGCACTTGTGAGCGCCTTCGTTAGCAAAAATATGCTTATATTTCGTCTGGAAGGTCACTTATTATGGACTGTCCATTGGACCCATGACAACTATTTAAAAACAGCTCGCCCAGGAAATTTTCAGAACCATGAGGGACGATAAGTCTTTCTTGTAGTAGTGGTGGTGAGTAGGCGAAGCCTGGCAACTAACCACTTTTGACCATTTTTGCCGACCCCCTTATATCTACACTGTACTACTCCATAAGCCGTCTATCGGTAGCTGGTTATTATTGAATAAATCAGCTCCAGCGATGCGACGTGAGGATCTACGTTGATCTTGCACCGCGATCTGGTGCGTAATATACCTAGACAATACACAATGCAACATCCGTGGCTAGAAATTAATTTTTTAAGCGGAGATTCGAACTCGCGAGCCTTCCAGCTGACCGATTAGCTCCTCGACACCCCAGCCTTAAAATAAATTTGCTTTCTTGTTGACTATTCGCTAGAGAGTTCCTCTGATATCCTCTAGCGATAAAGTAGTAGAATGCTACCTATCCATACATCTTTCCACCGATTTTGGCGGGTCACAGTAAAACTAATCTATAATATCTTTTCCTGTTTCTGTCTTCCTCATACAAACACATGTAGTGCCAATTTCACCAACATTAATGTTATGGACCAATGGGAAAATACCTTATCGAAATGCAATTTGACGGGTCTCTGAATATTAGTGATTTCTATTGAAATATTGAATAAAATCGTGAAAACCCGACTGTCTTATAAACAAGACCACTTTTTGATTCCAACATGATGCTTTTGTACAGAATAAACAGGACATCTTTCATATATTTTGATATATGTTATAGGTATACATTTAACAATCCTTTATCCCCTTCAGCGAATGGGAATGCGGCAAATAATAGGTAGATTTTCTAGCTGTTAAATTTGGCAGCAGATTTGGACGTTTGTTAATGCATGGCACTCTTGAATTTACCAACTTCAATATACTGAAAGTTATCATTACATACCTGTTGAATAGTGTGGATTTGTCTGTATTTTGCAAGAAAATAGAATATAAAATACATTCCATCCAATTCCTCATCTTCCTTTACGTCATAATAGTAATCATTTATAAATTTATTGGAGAATGAATTTCTTCACAGATGATGCCTGATGCATAATGCAATTACTATTAACATAGACAAAAAATTATGAAAAATGTTTCATAGATAATGGCTTTTAAGTCCAAAAATCAAAAAAACTAGTATACACTTTATTGTTTATCTATTTTTCTTTTTTGACTGGCGGGGATATCTATCTGACACTCGCAGGGTTGCCAAGTCTAACGACGATCACGTTCCGTGGTGGAGGGTGCGAAATGAAGGTGGGGAATAACGGACTGTTGTTGGTGAAATTGGCCCGTAATCTACCTTTGAGTATGAGCTGGTCTAAGCTCGTTTTTAGTTTTACAGCTCATCGAGTGCTCTTCAACTATATTTGACACCGCTGGGTGACAACTCTCTT